CCAACATTCGGTACCGCTTCCACACAGTGTTATGATCTTCAAGTCTGGTCGACAATCGGTAGCAATCTTGACCTTGGTTTTGGCTTCAAGTGTCCCGACAATGTTAATAAAAAGAAGTATTTCTGCGGCACGTGTCCATTTGAAATCGATGATCTGGAAGTTTTTAAAGTTATCTTTTAGAAGCAGAATTTGCTTTTTGAAATACGAGATAAGTATTTCAGGATACAGTTGACTTTTAAATACTAAATATAACCGTCTACTTGGGACAATAACCTAACTTTGAATAGCAGACTTTTCAGGCTAACTGAGAAAAGGAAGCTTTGTAAATTGCTATCAGGTAACACATGCCAGACAGAACATGTTCGATAAAGCAAAAGACATCTACGTCCACTGAGTGAAAATTAGCCTTCGCCTGAGCCGTGTAAAGAAAACAGAATTCATTTTACTTTTTTTTTTAATCATATTGTTTGGAAGACCGCTTTTGAGTTTTCGTTTGGTGTTAAAGTTGGACTTCAAATGTATTGAGCTTTCGTTTTGAATACCCGAGACAAAGAAGCCCCTCCCTTCCACGATAAAATCCTTGAAGTAAAACCCGTACTTCAATTTCAAACGTTACAAACCTGATTGTCTCGCATACCTAAAAGCGAGTTTTCTTGAAAGAGAGATTTTCCTAAAAAAGGCAGCTTTGAATTTACAAACTTATTAGGTGACGCTCATGCTACAGAGATTTATAGCATTATCGGCCGGGAAAGTTCGAAAAACATCGATTTTACTCGTTTTCGGATGCATTGAATGTGTGACGGACGTGGTTCTCTGAGAGCAAAAAGCCTGGGCACGAAGTTTTCTTTTGAAAATGGCTGACCAGAAAGAATTCGACAGGAACTCACTGTAGTTATTACTTTCAGTTGGCGAGCAGGAAGTGAATGTCTTCATAGAATATGGCGGCTAAAGAAGATCAGGAGTTGATTTGATTGAAATTGGCGAGTGCAAAATTAACCGATGCCCAGAATGTAATGGCTGAAGCTAGCGACTTAGCGAACGCCAAACTATCTGAAGCGCAGAAGCTTATGGCCGAAGCAGGCGTTCCAATGAAAGAGGATCTTGATAATGCGCGAGTTAAAAAGAAAGCTGTCGAAGAGATGACAAGAACGTTGAATCACGTCCACTTCGCCAGCTCAATTAAGCTGAACGTTGGCGGAAATATACTAAACAACATTAGATACTCTAAGAAAGGATCCAAACCCTATGTTGTGTGCGATGTTCTCTGGAAAGTTCGAGTTAAAAGCAGATGAGGAGAATGGGGCATATTTCATTGATCGTGATGGAAAACTGTTTCGGTAGGTTTCTAAACTACAATCAATTGATGACAAGAGTCTTTGATACAATGCTGCATTTGTAGGTTTCTCTGCACCTCAATATATAAAGGTTGTGAGAGAGGAAAATTCGTGCTGTTATTTTTACTATAACTATGCTCGTTGGGGTATGTCAAATCATATCGACAGTGAAAAGAATGCGTGACATTGCTAATAATATTAATATTGGTTTGACCCTTGTAAGAGAAGGGGGGAAGACAGGGAAGGGGTGGGGTTGAGAGCAAAGAAAAGGCGGCGAGGTGAGATTTATGTCTACTTTCTCCACCTTAATAAATGAGAAAGGATATTGCCAACTGGAAATCATAATTTAAAATTAATTAGTACCTTAGTGACATCATCAACAATCGATTAAATTTTGCATATTTTGTCTGTCTTTATCAAGGTTCATTTTAAACTTCCTCCGCAACGGCGAGCTCCTCTTCCCAGATGATCGACTCTTCATGCAACAGCTGCTGATAGAAGCCGAATTTTACCAAGTTCAAGGAGTAATCTCCCATCTTATGAGGTAGCTATTTTCAATATCGTCCTCAATAATAAAGGATAAAGATTACCAGTTATCGCCTCGTGGCTGCCGTCCGGGGCTTCCTTTTCTCTGTTGTATCGACGTCGATGGACAAACCCCTGATGATTTTCCCCGCTGCTGTGATAACGAAGGTCTTACTCTTGTGGTGATCAAAAGTGGAAAATACGTCTGCGGTGGCTACACTTCTAAGTCATGGGAACCGGGTGTGACCAAGAGTTGTTCCAATACAAAGCTAATATAATCGTTGATAAGTGCATAATGGGGGTAAGTTTCTAAAGAAACTGTGGTGCTGCGTCGGTGGGGAGTATAACAAGTTAATTTGGTTTTATCAACTGCAAGTTGGTGGTATAAATTGGTCACCGTAAAGGATTTCTAAGCTGACGTTTTGAGCGAATTTGATAATGATTGGGCCCATGTATGAGCCCAGTCTCATTCATTTCTGTAGTTTATAATACACTCTTTTTTTTTCTCAGCCTCCACTTTGAAAGCCATTGAAGACAGCGAATTTTTCCTATTTACACTGGTAAATCCTTTTGGAAGTAAACCGATGATGATCAAGCCAAGACCAATTGTTAAGGCTTGTATACGGTATGAGAATAAGGTCCTTGCTTTGGAACCTCATCGAACTATGACCTTGAAGTCACGGTGGCAAACATTTAACGCTGCTAGCCCTAAAGAAGCCTCAAGCAAGCTTGAACTAGGATATGGCTTTATGCGTCCTGAAGGTGCTGATAACCATAGTTATTTCACTGGCACATACCCATTTAAAGTCGATGAACTCGAAGTATTTGGAGGTAAATTGTAGTTTAACACCAGAATCCTTAGCTTTAGAGAGAATTCGTTGCCTTTCTGGCGCCAATTAAACTGTTTCAGGCAATCAGTTTACGAGAGCGAGAGAGACAACGCAGCGCACGAACATATTGATTTAAATAACCCTTTTACTGGTGTACTTAGCATTAATCAATGAACAAAACAATGAGAACACTCAGGGAATAATCCGTGGTGTGATTGACCATGGAGCCAATAGTAAGTTTACATTTAAGTTACAATAACATAATCTTTGGAAGTTTTAGTCAGAGAAGATAAAAAGTAAACTTATGTCGTAGTAAAAATGAATTAAAGAGAGCAGCTCTGGAGTACAATGTCTGAGAAGTGTGACTCTTTTAATCAAACATGTCATACTTTCTATGAAATTATGTCTTAATCTAGTTCCCTTAGGTCTTTGCCATTAGACTCTCAGTTACCTTTTTGTCATGAATGAGAAATATAACGCTAGTAAACCTAGTGACTTGTGTTACACTTTTTAAAGTCTGAAGAAGAGTTGATTATGCGGTAGGGAAGAGAGGAACTGATAAACTGATTCTTTTAGGTGTTACTCGGGGAGGATCGCATCAAAACGGCAGTGTTTATTTCAGAAGTATGTCGAGCAAATATCAGTTCGTTCCGGAAGATCAGACGCTAGATTTCCTAATATGTTGATACAGTGTAGGGGAAAAAAAATTATCTGTATGTATCATTTATACCATGTGCTAAGGATAATGAAAATATTGCTATTCTGATACGGCTTGAGTAAAGACAGTTGCGCAAATTCAGCATAGTTATCCCTTTTTTCATTAAATATCCTGGATGCTATACATTTCCTTGTAAGCTGGTAAAGAGAACTGAGAATTTTATCATCCTGGGTAATTTTTTGTCCATTTTCCTCACTTGCTGTTACTATATTTTATCACCACTGGAAGTTCATGCTACAATGAAAGGTATCTGATTCAGCGCCCTACAGACTTTCAAGATGCTCTACATTTCATTGATAATTTAAAGCGAGAGTTTGATCTTATATCCAGATAAAACCCACTAGCTACTATTTTGTTTAATTATCATAAATGGCTTTTTAAACAAAACGGGGATACCCAGAACACTGACCGTCCTTTGAGAGAAAAACTCCTGGACACGAAGTTTTCTTCTGAAAACCTCTGGTCAGAAGGAACTCGATGAGAGCTCACTTTCGGTTAGCATGCAGCATGTAAATGTCTTCATAAAATATGGCGGCTAAAGACGATCAGGAGCGGAGTTTATTCGAATTAGCAAGTGCAAAATTAACCGATGCCCAGAATGTAATGGCTGAAGCTCGCGACTTAGCGAACGCTAGAATATCTGATGCGCAGAGGCTTATGGCCGAAGCAAGCGTTCTACTGAAAGAGGATCTTGATAATGCGCGAGTTAGAAAGAAAGCTGTCGAAGAGTTGACAAAAACTTTGAATCAAGTCCACTTCGCCAGCGCGATTAAGTTAAATGTTGGCGGTAAGATATACAAAACAACACAAGAAACTCTAAGAAAGGATCCAAATTCTATGCTATGTGCGATGTTCTCTGGAAGATTCGAGTTAAAGCAGGATGAGGAAGATGGAGCATATTTTATTGATAGTGATCCTGAACTGTTCAGGTATATCTTGAATTTTGTTCCTCGGCACCTAACAAGCACCTAGCTGTACACTCGCACTGAAAGTTCTTTTGTTCTTTTGAGTACCGATTAAAACTCCGTTGTTTAAGATAGAGGATTTATGTCTCCTGAATTTACCTAGATAATTAACGATAGTGTGACTTAATAAATATTGTCCTTAAATAAGATCACTCATTCGAAAAAAGACCTCAGACAATTACCCTTCATATGCTAGAAATATGTCATGAATTTATTTTCCTCGTTGTTTAAGCGTCAATTAAACCAAGAAACAAAATTTTTATCATTATCAATCAGGTACATTTTGAACTATCTCCGAAAAGGCGAACTCCACTTCCCAGAAGACAAAGCAATTCGAAAAGACCTACTTGCAGAGGCAAAGTTTTATCAAGTTCAAGGAATTATCGATGAGCTGGAAAAAACAAGTTCCCTTAGTGACTCTGTGATAGTTTCGAATGAAAATCACCTTTTAACCCTCAAGTCATGGTTGCCATCTAATGCTACGCGTTCTCTGCTTTATCGAGGGACTGTTAATGGGAAAATACCAACCGAAATTAATCGCTACTGTGATTTAAAAGGTCCAACTCTCGTGGTGATTAAAAGTGGAAATTTTATTGGCGGTGGGTTCACAACAGCATTGTGGGAATCACGTAAGTTGAAAATATTTCATTGAGCACAAAACATCAAAACCATATCGTCTATTCATTCTAAGCTCTAGCATACCACTTGTAAAAAGGCTAAGTCAGTTTATGTAACTGCTTGAGGCCATTGTTCGAAACGATTCCCCCAGGCGTTCAAATAACGGTTCCAAGATGCAAACAATTCCCAGAAGCGGTTCGAAGTGGTCGGTTAGCTCTGAATACGTTTGCATCTTTATACGGTGTGAAAGGCAATACTATAGTCAACATTCTGCAAAACAATATCAGTCTCTTTGTTGATTGTGTGATCTCATCTTTCTCCCTTTATCCTTCCTTAATGTTTGAGTCTTGGTTAACTCAGTTTTACTACGTGTTGTTTTCTTTCTTCTTTCGTTCCAGGTGGCATTCGCAAATTCAAGGAAGATAAGTCATCATATCTTTTTACACTAGTTAATCAAACTGCGAGTGAACCTTTTAAACTAAATGCAGTTGCAGGAGGTGGCATAGGGTGTAAAAAAAATATAGGGCCAAACTTCGGTACTGCACAGCTTATCGGCCTTGCAGTGTGGCCAAGCAACAGTCGATTGTGTAGCCCGATGGGGTAATGGCTTCTCTGAAAAAAGTAGACGTTTCTTTGGGAGTGAATCATTTGAAATCGATGAGCTGGAAGTCTTTCAGGTGACTGGATGTTTTTAAAGTTTGAAAACAAGTAAGTTTTTTAAAAGAACAGGTTAGGGTTAGGTATTTTTGGCACAATATTTATAGGCATCCTAAGTAAGACCGAGTTTGAAAGATCTGCTATACAATAAACCGCGATATAACGAGACCTCTTTGGACCGTAGCTGTGCAGTTCGCTTTATTGTTGTTTGTCATTTTAAGAATTCTTCGACAATTGTTTTACTGATTTTTGAGCCGAAGAATGGTTTTCATTATATTGTTGTTATCGTTTAACTTTATTTCACGGGGGCTCGTCAAATCAGTTTTTCTTATTTTCAACTGAACAGTTTTTTTGTTGTAAGGCAAAGCGATAACAGCCATCGCCCTTAAGTGATGTACTCATAAGGACTCATTACATCGTGTTCACCCGCAGCAACCTTTGCAAAATAATTTGCATGAGACATTTCAATGTTTAAAAGATCAGACTCATTCCTAAATCACTAAACTAAAGACAAAAGATGATTTTGTTTTAACAACTGAAATGATAATTTAAATTCGTCTCTGAGAAGAGTTTATAACGCTGACGTTGCGAATGTTAGTCCTTCTTCAGACAGACAATGGACAACTAACATTATTAGCTCAGTTGAATAAAACCGATTTGTAATACCCCCTACCAACGCAGCACCACAGTTTCTATACAAATTTACCTCTTTATTCATCCAGTGAGAAAAGAGATCGGTCAACCGGAAACACCTGATAATTTAAGTGTATTGAAACTTGTACAAGGCCTATTTTATGTATACAGGGTGCAAATTTAGAACACACTTATTTAATTGAACCCAGACTACCTCTCATTTACCCAACGGTAGCATAAGCTCTTTGCTATCTAAAAGTAGGGTTTGAAAACTTGCGGCGACTTGGGTCGATTGACTTCAATTTTTGAATTGCTCACCGAGGAACCAAAGTGTTCGATTTTCGCTGGTTGATTGATTCTCTGAATTTCACCAATTTCACGCGTTCGTGGGAGTCAGATAATTTTTCCACAAACAATATACTTTGCGCAGCTTGAGAATCTGCCGACTGTTTCGACGCCGAGAGCTTGAAAAATTAGTAGTTTTAAAACATCACTCTGGAAGAGCATTTTTAATGACCAATAGGTTTTAAATCATTTTACTCTGTAATTTTCATGGCTCATTTTTTATGTAGTTAAGCCATAGTTTTTAGTATCTCTAATATTTTTATTGTGTTTTTAGTGCTAGGAGGGCCACTGGTTTATTAGTAATCTTTACTATTTTAGTGCTACCCTCATTAAATAAAGCCTTTACTTACTTACTTACTTTCTTACTTACTAACTTACTTACTTACTAGCCGATGGCTACTGAGTAACTAGCTTCGGTGAACTTTTAGCTTAACCCATGGCACTCCTACTTCATTTCTTTTCGTAGCTGAAAAATTCAAAGCAGACAACCATTACTTCCTGTTCGCCCTGATAAACCCTTCTGTATCTGAACCGATTCAGATAATGCCAACACGCGGTGCCGGTATACTGTGTTCGACGTGTGAAAACTCGCCAATTTCTAGCGGGGGGGCGAAATTGTATGTTGACTTTCTACTCAAAAACAAACCCAAAACATAAGTAAAATCTTCCTTTAATTATAAGAGTATCTTATAATTAAATTTCATGAAAATTTTTAGAGCTTTTTTCGTGTATTCTCCGCACAGTCTAAGTGTGACATATATTGTATAGGATAATTTGGTTTTATCAACTAAGTTGAAATTGTAATTTGGCCACCGTAGAGTAAAAAATCTGACGTTTCGAGCATTCGGCCTTCATCAGAGCGAAGGGCTAACGAGCGGTGACGAAGGGCTCACGTGCGAAACGTCATCTTTTAACTCTTTATGGTGGCCAATTTACAGTTTCAACTTAGTTGATAAAACAAAATTACCTTGTTACCCCCACCGACACAGCACCACAGTTTCTTGAGAAACTTACCCCCTTTAATATTTTATAGTCTTAACTTGTTGAAACAGCCCGATTGAGTATATATCGAAAGGGGATAAATTGTCCTTATTCTAAGAAATGAGAGAAATACCGTTTTTGTATAGTTACAGTAGAAAGTAAAGGCTACCTTAGCTTGGGTCGTCTCACTTTTTAGTTGATTAGGCCGTCGAACGTGAAGTATAAACGTAAGCGAGCGAAGAGCGGCTGCGCTACTAAAACCTGAGTTCACTGAGCTTTCACGTTCGACGGAATTCGTGAAAGTAGAGGCTGCTATTGGCGAATCGCAAAACCTCCCCTTCAGTGAGTTTTCCTCTTTCACAATATCTTTTAAATGTTAATTATCTGGGTGTATTTTTTGGTCATAAATATATTCATAGCTCCGACAACTTGCCTTACAGTCTTAATTTGAATAGTGCCGTCATTTAAGAAATTTGAGCCTCTGTACGACTCATGTATGGTTAGGAACGATTCGCTTTGCTGTTTGATTGCCGAAATGTCACGCAACGCGGGACCAATTAGCATGATGTTTGGGGAACTCTGGCTTGATTGTGTGGAATCATTCTAAACAATTTTTATACAAACTTTGTCTTCTTGACTTCGAATCTTAACAAACTTTAAATGACACGCGCACGCTAACAATCTAGGTCGAGCAGACAAGCGGCACGAAGACAATTTAACCGCTGGTAATAAAGATTGAGGCTCATCAACTTCCACTTTATGGGCGGAAGTAACGTGAATTTTAGCTCTTTGTATCGCATATAACATGGCTACTGGACACGAAAAAGAGGTAAGCCTATTCGACTTGGCAAGTGAAAAAATAGCTGATGCACAGAAGCTTATGGCCGAGGCTAAGGACTTGCTAAAGCAAGACTTGGACAATGCAAGACAAGAGAAAGCGGCCATCGAAGAGATCACAAAAACGTTGAGACAAATTCACTTCTCTAGCAAGATCAAGTTGAATGTCGGTGGTAAGATTTATAAAACAACACTGGATACTCTAAGGAAGGATCCAGATTCCATGCTTTGCGCGATGTTCTCTGGAAAGTTCGAGCTAAAGGCGGATGAGGAAGATGGAGCATATTTCATTGATCGTGATGGGAAACTGTTTCGGTAAGTAACAATGAACTAACGTGTATTAGAACAAGGGGACTTTGAGTGACTTGAGACTTCTAAACTTGAGTTGCGGAGAGAGTTCGAGAATGATTTATCTTTTACACAGGTTAAGGGACACGAATCGTATCGTAATTACAAATAATCGTGGTCCGTCACGCTTCATGCCGACTGTGAAACCAAAGGGAATGCGTGACTATGCACAGACATATTTATTCATTACTGGGAAGATCGCTTTCATATTCATTTTGATTGTATTGGGTTGTAAAGGGCTTGACAACAAAGACAAGGGAAGGCAGTGGTATTAAAATGAAAAAAAAAAAAATAGGTATTGCTGAAAAGTATATCAAATTTGAAAATTCTGAGAACCTCAGTGATATATGAAATGAACAATATCAATCAATATTCCAGTTTACTGTTTTCCGTGTTTTCTCTTTTTTTTTCTATCAAGATATATATTGAACTACCTCCGTGACGGTGACTTTCTTTACCCTGAGGACCAAACTGTTAGGGAGCAGCTCCTGAAAGAAGCAAAGTTTTACCAAGTTCAGGGAATAATCAGTCATCTCGAGGAAGCGATGTCTCCAGCGTTACGCTCCTCAATTCTTAATTTGTACTTGGGGTCAGCCATGTTGGGGGATAACCACGCGTGACAATCCCTGTGACATAGCTGTCTGAAGTGTAAGTTGAAGGTGTTACGCAAATAATTGTCAATGTCATGCATTCTAAATAGCTGTCAATACTTGCAATTTAAATTATTTTAAGACTTGTGCTGTAGTTTGGATTGTAATACCTTTATTTTGTGTGAACGGTAAATTTTTTTTGTCGGATACTACACCGCCCACGTGCTTTGCGGAAGCCGGTATGATCTTTTTTCGGTACTGTTTTAATTTCCCCTCTTATCATGACACAACTCTGTGTTGTCTTTGTTTGTTTTGAATTTGGTTGTGTTACAGGTATGAACAAGCAAGCAATTGAAAAATGATTATTGTTTAGCTTTCAAGGCTGTATGTTTCTTTTGTAATAAAAATTTTCCAAACTTGGCACATACGCATATAAATAAAGGCTGATAGTTTCGAAAGAAACTGTTTGGGGCTGCGTCGGTGGGAGTAACGAAATAATTTCGAAACGTCAGCTTTTGTAATCATTACGGTGGCCAATTTACCATTTCAACTTCTGTTGATATATCCAAATTACATACGCATATAGTTTAGTTTGAGATTCAGCTAGTTACTGATACTTGTGGGATTGATGCTGTGTTTTCTAAATAGTAATAATAACAACACAAGCTGGGGTATAACCACGCACATACTTTGCGGAAGCCGGTATTGTTTCGTTGGTAAAGGCAAAACCAGGTGAGTCTCTGGCTCCTATTGACAAAGCCGCCATAGTGTGCTATGCACTCACCAATTTATCAGAGTCCATGCATTGTACCATTTGATCGAGGTGAACTTACAACCAGTTTGATTCCAGGTACTTCATGTACAATTTTTCATATAAAGGCTGCAGTTAAGGCTAGCCACAATCTGCCATTAAAGAACTTCAGTAATTCTCAAGTTGACAAAAACACAGCTTTAAGGTACACCATTGACAAGCAATATGTGTTTAGTTTGTGTCACAGATGCTAGTCGTTAATAGATACCTATACGACAAACAACCATAAAGTTCAGTTAGCATTTTGACAAAGAAAGGAGCACCCTCAAAGTAATAGTTTGGTGGTTGTGGTACAATTGAATAACCTTGACATTTCAATCATGATTGCTCAGTTAATTTTTTCTATAAAAAGTTGGACAGATCTAGTTTCTTNCTCTTGGTCAGGAAGAATTTCTGCACAAAGAGATCTATTGTTGTTCACACCACAAAATCACAATATTCAACCTCACAGATAAAGATCTGGGCCTGAACTTGGTAGTAGGCATCACTTTTGTCAAGATAAACTTTACCAAACTCATCTTTCTTTAAACAAAAGTTGATTTGGCCACCAGCCTCAGTGATTGTGGAATCCTTGTGTATATGGACATTTTATTCACACACACCCATCCCACAGCATTTGTAGTTAATAATCCCATCAGGAGAAGCTCCCAAGTATGGTCACCTTAGATCAATATTGAGACCACTGTCAAAGATTGTCAAAGACTTATGGTCAGAAATTGTCAGACTGGTAAGCTTTGTGAGCCCTACCCTCATTTTCACAACCCCACCTCGTGGGCGCAGTTGAAAACTTATGGGCTTCAAGGTAGCATATGGACTTAACAAGACTCTTAGCAGGCTTAGCTGTATTTGTTTCGCAAGCAGTTTTTAGATTGGAAGCAGTAATACGACCTGCCTGCCTGCCATTTGGTACCAAACTTTATATTGTGACTGCTTTCTAGTTGAAGCTTCTATTGCTCCACACTCATCAGGTGTAATCTCAAGCAATATTTGGTGACATTGCTGCAACAACTCTATGTACTGGTAATCTAACTGCAAACACTCTTCTCTGAAAAAATTGCTATTGGGCAAGGGCTTGGGTACATTACCAATTTCTGTACAAGTATACAGCTCATTTAAAGGTGCGACAAGGGACAAGACTGCTGGACTTGCTGTACAGCTAGAAATACTTCTAAAAATAGTTTTCTGCTCTTCTGGGGTTGGGGCAGGTGTCCTGGTTGTTCAGATCCCAGGGTTAGATCTAGTAGTCATGGCACTAACCAGTGTTTCTCCACCATTAATTCATGCTTCCTTCAGACAGAGGTAAAATCCATCTCAATTATAGATAATGGGGATTTCTTTCATATGACTTGAGAGAAGCCATTTGTTCTTTTCCTGTGTGCATGTGGTAGAATCTCTAATTCTAACACCAGCCTCCACAACAAAAAGCTCTGCCCCCAACATGAGACAACCCTTCACACAACCCTGCTATGCAATAGCAATGTGAGGCAATTACAGTTCCATATTTTTCTGCCAGAAACCATGTTCAAAGTGGGATGTCCTGGGCTCTCTGTGAGCGATTCATCAAGTGAGAGTACACAAAAAGTCTTAATTCTAAATCAGAAATTTAAATCCTTGAAATATGCCATATCACTCGCTAATGTGAGTACTATGAGTGATATGTCTTCTGAACTTGCAGCTGTCGTGTCAAGATCGACTAGATCGCTCTGACAAAGGGCTAACGCTCGAAACGTCAGCTTTCTAACACTTAACGGTGGCCAATTCACAATTTCAACTTAGTTGAAGTAACCAAATTACCTAGTAAAACAAGAGTTGTTAGCCGAGGTCGATAAAAAATGAGTCCTTTATTTTGCTCTGTTTGCTTCTCTCCGAGATCATCAGAAAAAAANAATCACTTTTTCTCAACGCATATCGGTCGAAGCCTGAAACAGTTATTTTTTCGTGGTACCTTGACTTCGTAGGACCCTCTACACCCGCAAAGTAATCCGAATACTGAAGGTTTACATCGGGCACGCCTTTGGAAGAAGCCATTTTGAAAGCTTGGTTATCCCCCAACATGGCGGCCGCGTATGACGTAGCAAACTTTTGTCACGTGGTTGAAAACAAAGAATAATAAAAGATAAAAATCACGAGTCAACTCTTCTGTCGTGGCTGTCACCTGGGGTTACTTTTTCTCTGCTGTATTGTGCCTCTGCAGATGGCAATACTCCCGCCGATTTTCACCGCTGCTGTGACAACAATGGGCCAACTCTAGTGATGATCAGAAGTGAAGATTGCATCTGCGGTGGCTACACTTCAAAGTCTTGGGTATCAGGTACAGGCTAGCATCGTAGCAATACAAGTGAATTTTATTACTGTTTGTGACCACAACCATTTATTTGCCAGCCCATTTGTTTTCCTTTCCATTTCCTCTTCGTATGTTACAACTGACCTTTTCTTTTTCTCAGCTTCTCCCATGAGAGCTATTGAAGATGACGAATCTTTCCTGTTTACGCTGATAAATCCCTCTGGAAGTAAACCGATGAGGATTTATGTAGATCCAGATAATCCTGGTGGTATACAGTGCGATAGAGATAAAGGCCCGTGCTTTGGAACCTCAAAGAACTATGACCTTCAAGTGTGGTACACATTCAATGCTACTAGCCCCAAAGAAAGTTTAAGCAGGTTTGATATGGGTTATGGCTTTAGTTGTCCTGAAAGTGTTAACAAGAGAACGTTCTTCACTGGAAAATACCCGTTTAAGATCACAGAACTCGAAGTATTCAAGGTTAAGTTTTAGTCTGACTCAAAACTCTTAGCTTTAGATAACAAGAATAACGACAACAACAATCTCTCTTCCTTAAAAGCTATTACAAAAAAAAAATATTAAAAATAAACTAGCGTATTGGCGGCCTGGAATAACCATAGGGGACTAGCGGAGCCAGGCAGTCAGTTGACATCAGCGGAGCCAGGCAGCCAGTCGACATCAGCGTTACATTATCTGAAATTTGACTAAAGAGAATTCGATATCTTTTCTTACCATCGAAGTAGCCTGTTCCAATATCTTAGGTTGTGGGACGGGTGAAAAGGCGAGGAACACAAATTACCTTTTTTTTGCAGTGAGTATTACTCAGTGAACAAAAGGGAATGATCCTTGGTCTAATGAACAACGAATCAAATGATTAGATCACGAGGAACACAAATTACCTTTTTTTTGCAGTGAGTATTACTCAGTGAACAAAAGGGAATGATCCTTGGTCTAATGAACAACGAATCAAATGATTAGATCACGAGGAACACAAATTACCTTTTTTTTGCAGTGAGTATTACTCAGTGAACAAAAGGGAATGATCCTTGGTCTAATGAACAACGAATTCGTGGTTAAGAAATAATTTTTTTTTGTAATTTTAAAATCAACTGTAGTAGCTTTCTGAATCTTGTAATTTGGTGGTTTTAGTTTTTTAACTAAATTTGCAAAGTGTCGGGTACAAGTAGCAGTAGCTGTATAAATAATTAGATTGGATGGAATTTAATTGGTCTTTCTTTCTTAGGTTTCCAAAATTTTCCTGTTAGTGACTTTTTCCGCATGTCATGCAACTTTAACTCTCAGTCAAAATTAACCTGAAACAATTGCTTTGTTAGGTAAAGAAACTCTAGTCTCTCAAGCTTCTGCGTATTGACTTATTCTTTGATGAATTCTGCAAGGAATTTCTAATCAAAATTTGCTTCAAACTAATAAGCTTGACGAGGCAGAGAAATGTGTTCATTAATATCCTAAATGAAGACGGGTAATTGAGGTTGTAAAAAGGTAAAGATGAAACTACGAACTCTACAAGGTAAAAAACTGTTCTTTCCAAGATGCACCACGACAAATGGACACTTTTCTTCACCAAATGAACTACAATCTCGGGTGCGTGAATTGACTTTGGATGACAATTTACCGAGTCTGCAAGTAATTATTTTTTAGTCAACAACAAGTCAAAAGAAAATGCCATGTTACTTGCCCCCTGTCTCTTGTTTAATTCACTTTAGCGTTCTTGGTAACCCCATAGGAGATTCCGAAAACACTCTGGTTCACCAAAACTCTGGGATACCCAACACACTGCAGCTCTTTAAGAGCAGAAATCTCGGGCACGATGTTTTCTTCTGAAAACCACTGATCAGAAAGAATTCGACGAGAGCTCACTGTTGTTACTTACCGTTAGTGTGCAGAAAGTGAATGTCTTCATATAATATGGCGGCTAAAGAAAATCAGGAGCTGAGGTTATTAGAATTAGCAAGTGCAAAATTAACCGAAGCCCAGAATGTGATGGTTGAAGCTAGCGACTCAGTGAACGACAAAGTATCCGATGCGCTGAGGCTTATGGCCGAAGCAGGCGCTCTAATTGTAAAAAGGATCTTGATAATGCGCGAGTTAGAAAGGAAGCTGTCGAAGAGACGACAAGAACATTGAATCACGTCCACTTCGCCAGCTTAATTAAGCTGAATGTTGGCGGAAAAATATACAAGACAACACCAGATACTCTAAGAAAGGATCGAGACTCGAATGCTGTGCGCGATGTTCTCTGGAAGATTCGAGTTAAAAGCTGATCCAGGAGATGGAGTATATTTCATTGATCGTGATGGGAAACTGTTTCGGTAGGTAAAAATACAGCAACGGGCATTAGATCAAGGTGACTTTGAGTGACTTGAGAATTTTCACTAAGTTTTGGTCTTATCTTAAGCTGCAAAGAGAAGCCGAGATTGACTTATCTTTCATACAGGTTGAGGGACACGAATCGTATCGTCAGTTGTATGTATACGTGATTACGGGGAGCGTCACGCTTGACGCCGACAAAGAAACTAAAGGGAATGCGTGACAAAGCTGAAACATTTTTATTGTGAAGGACTTGAGAACAAAGAGAAGGGTAGTTAGTGATGTCCAAATGTGTGTGCAAATTCCACCCCAGTAAAAAAGATATTGCCAAAAGGGATATTAACAATGAAATGAACAATACACATCAATGGTCCAGTCTACTGTTTTCCGTGTTTTCTCCTTATTTCTACCTCCACGATAGTGACCTTCTTTACCTTGATGACCAAACTGTTAGGGAGCAGCTCCTGAGAGAAGTAAAGTTTTACCAAGTTCAAGGAATAATTAGTTATCTCGAAGAAGCGATGTCTCTAGCGATACCCTCCTCAATAATAAAGGATAAAAATCACGAGTCAACTCTTCTGTCGTGGCTCTCACCTGGGACTACTTTTTCTCTGCTGTATTGTGCCTCTGTAGATGGAAAAACTCCTACCGATTTTCACCGCTGCTATGATAAGAAAGAGCCTACTCTTATGGTGATAAAAAGTGGAGAATACATCTGCGGTGGCTACACTTCAAAGTCCTGGACATCCGGTATAGGCTAGGTTTGTAGCAGTACAAGTGAATGTAATCACTGTTTGTGACTACACCCATTTATTTGTTAGTCCATTCGTTTTCCTTTCCATTTCCTCTCCGTATGTTACAATCGAACCTTTCTTTTTCTCAGATTCTTCCATGAGAGTCACTGAAGATAGCGAATCTTTCCTGTTCACGTTGGTAGGTCCTTCTAGAGGTGAACCGATGAAGATGAATCCAAAACCAGGTGCTCATGGTGGCGTAAGGTGCGATAGTGAAAAATGCCGTTGCTTTGGAACCTCAGAGGACTATCACCTTGAAGTGCGGAACAACTTTAGCGCCACTCGTCATCTACGTTGTGGCTTTATTTTTCCTGACAGTTTTGATAAGGATTCTTGCTTCTGTGGAAGAAAGTGGTTTGAATTGGAAGAACTCGAAGTATTCAAGGCTAATTTAGTCTGACTCAGAACCCCTAGCTTAAGATCAGAATAACAACAACAACAACCTTGCTTTTCTTAGTATAAGCTATTACAAAAGATTATTGGAAATAAAACAAGCGTATTGGCAGCCTGTAATAACCATAGGGGCTAGCGGAGCCAAGCAGCCAGTTGACATCTGCGGAGCCATGCAGTCAGTTGATATCAGCATAGCATTAAATGAAATTTTATTAGAGAAAATTCATTATCCATTTTACCATCGAACTGGCCTGTTTCAATAACTCAGGTTGTAGGGATGGGTGAAAAGGCGGGGAACGTATGTAAGAACCATTTTTTTCCTTGAATATTATTCAGTAAATAAAATGGAATGATCCTTGGTCTAATGAACAACGAATCAAATGATTAGATCACGGTTAAGATATCATGCCATAATCTTCGATAGGCCTAAAGTACGATCTTGTACTCAGAGAAATTTAAGAAGTCAGGTTTTTTAGAAACAACAAGAAAATTAAGGAGTGGAGAAATAAAGTGAAAAGTTTAACAACAATTTTTGAAACTCTTTTTCAAACCCGACCGATTCCCGATGAAAAAAGCGGTTGGCTGCTTCGCATGGCCGGGTCGTTTGAAGTCATGGCCGGGTCGTTTGAAGTCATCAAGTTCTATCTACCCGAAGTACACGCTTATGCAGACGATACACAGTTGTATTTATCATTTCAACCAAACTCGGATGTGGACCAAGTGGAGGCAGTCAATGCAATGAAGAAGTGCATCGCAAACATCGGAAACTGGATGAAATTGGATAAGCTTATGTTGTACCCAGATAAAACGGAAATAATCCTTATTGGCACTAAGCCACAGCTTAAAAAATCAAGTTTAATCATGTCAAAGTCGGTCATGTAGATGTATTAGTGCAGACTACTGCTGTACGTAACTTAGGAGCCTGGTTTGACTGTAACTTAAGAATGTCAACTCATATCAATAAGGTCTGTCAGTCTGTATATTACCATCTGCACAATATCAGACATATCGGAGAATATGTTACACAGGATAGCACCAAGCTTCTTGTGCAAGCAGTAATTATGGCACGGATTGACTACTGCAACGGCCTATTATATAATGTACCCGCTGTACATTTGTTTAAGCTACAACGTCTTCAGAATACAACAGCGCGTTTAATTACTTTCACGCCTAAATTCGATCACATACTGCAGGTTTTGTTCAAGCTTCATTGGCTTCCCGTTGAATATAGGACTCAGTATAAAATAGGTTTATTGACTTTCAAGGCAATTTATTTTAAAACGCCACAGTATTTGAGTAACTTGTTGTTTCTCAAGGAAAATAGCAGGTACTCTTTACGGTCGGCGTCTAATGGTCTGACTGAAGATCTTAGTTGTCGGTTTAAAGTTACATTGGGTGACCGATCGTTCAAAGCATCTGCCCCAACAACTTGGAATGGACTGCCAAGAGAGATAAGAGACCAGACTAACAGAACCACGTTCAAGACAATGCTAAAAACGCATTTATTCCAAAGCTCTTCTAAGAATATTTATATTTTCCGAAGTGATGGTCTTAGGATCACCATTTTCCTTCTCTGTTTCTTTAAGCTCAGTAAAGAACTTCTACGTTTAAGGCTATCGTAGGGTTCTGTTGATTTGTCAGTCCTCCAGCTTACTCCTCTGGCAGCATGCAATTCAGCAGCAGAAGCCTTATAACTTGTCGCTCGTGTAGATCCTCCAATTTCTTCGTCGATCTTAGTTCTCCTGTCAACACTTCTGTCTTTTCTTAAACCCACACTCGATTGATAAAATGAAGAAATAACGTCTTCGCTTTTATTGACCAGTTGATCTGCTTTTGCTGCATCGCTGAGGTCTTCGCCTTTGGAGTATGAGGAGTAAAATGAAGAGATATGATCTCTTGCTGCATCGTTGCCTGAATACCCAGGTAAATCTCTAGATTTAACGGATTGGACTTTTTCACTCGTTCTGTAAGAAGAGGTTGACCTCTTATCGGTGACACTTCTCGTCACAAAAGACTTTGCTGTGTTCTCAGAGACCCAGTCAAAGGTAACCTTGGTGGGGTAAATTACTTTTTCAATCTTATCTTCTCTGGGCCCAATGGATAGGCTTGACGCGAACGAGGGTCTTCCAACCTCGCGGCCTGTTTTGGAATCGCCATAGCCCCTGAAGTCTTCTGACCCAGATGAATAGCTCTTCTTTGAGTACATTGCTTAGTGATGTTTTTAGTGTTTAAGACATTAGAACGCCTAATGATATACTCAGAATAAAGCTCTGTGGGTTGTCCTGAGAAAAAAGGGATGAACTGGTCACATGTTACCTCTGGTGTCCCACAAGGAAGCA